TGTGCGGGCCTTTTCATCTCAACCGGGCCTTCGCCTAAAGCTCTGACGTCCCGAGACTACCAAATCTTAACCTGACTGGGTTCGATCCCAGCTCACACGGTTTGTCTTGCGTTGGTTTCAACAGTGGTACCTAGGCCTGACCGTACAGGGCAATGGCAACCTACTGAACGTAACATTTGCCTAGAAAACCCACATCATTCAAAATATTCTGGAGTTGATTCTGCAACCGCCTGTAAAGGATGCGCAACTAAACTTTTAGACATAATATCTAAAATTATCAATTCCCAGGAAATCCTTACAACAAATAGCGAGTAAGATAAAAGACATCTCTAGGCACGTGAGTCCCTCACCGCGTTAACTGGCTGCATATAAACTCCGGCAGACGTTTCTGGTTATACGTCCACTTCTAGACTTCAGTTCTGTTCCAGAACCTGAGTGTAGTGTACACATCCGTTTTACAGATTTGACTTCTTTGTATGCAGACTGGTGGTTCTTCGCCTCTCAGGCAGAGGCACCCTGACTTCGAAAGAAGCTTCCAGTTTTTCGAAAACGAAAAGCAGATCAGCTAAAGCTATCGGTGTCGACATCGTGGGTGCTCTTGATGACACCGGCACAAGAAATAAAAGCATAAGAACTGATTTGCACATAGCTCTGCCCCCCCCCCCCCCCCCCCCCCCCCCCCCCCAAAAAAAAAAAAAAAAACTCTTTTTGTATTTAAGTAAAAAGTACTCTTTCATGCCAATGAAGCATCAGTGCATGTGACGATAGGCCCATAATGTTATGGGCAAACCGGCACTTGATAACTGATGACAAAATGTTATCTTCATGTCCCATGATGTTTCTTGGTACCCAGTGTAACGTAAGCTTGGTTGACCTAACGCCAAGTTCAATTATAAAGAACATCTAGCTCGATTCAAACTCAAAGTCTTCCGGTTTGCATACAAGGGCTGGTCACTGCACTATGACCATCTACTTGTATGAGTGCCTATTAATAGCTATGAGTTTATTTGAATGTCAGTGGCTAAGTAATCGCGCACTATGACACACACGCTTTATTCTGTCACAATTCTTTCTGGCAGACCCGTATTGAATTCACAGCAGGCAAGAGTCACTAAAACGACCCAGATCAAGTTATAATTTTTAAGGAGTGTAACAATGCCGAGAATGTGTCCTTGGCAACAGTTTAGAGATGGATAAGTATGCGTACACTCCATCTCATTGACTAAATCCTGCCCAGATGCAAACGAAAACTATGGTAAACACTAGCATAAAAATTAACACATCGCGAGGTTTGTAAGTGAGCAAAACATAACAGCTCACCGTTAACATTTGAAAAACAAGTGTATCCAAAGCTACTAAACAAAACGGAAAGCTCTAGTCTACTTTGTACGACCAACAGGTGTTACAAAATATTAATCCATAGAATGAACACTGTCGTTCAGCGACACTTTCTCTTGTGGGTTTTTGAGTTAAAGGTCAGTCCTACCTGGTGCGTTGTAGAGCACTACTAAATGTGAACACCAGGCGAGTGGCGACGTTTCGCTTTGTGACCTGCCCTCGCTTGCCGTCTCGCGCTAGCGGTTTTTAACAAGGGGACGAACTCGTGTTTGACCGACTTCGTGGGAAATTCCCTTTTTATGTTTTCATTGCGACCTCTGGTCAGGAAAAAAAGTAAATGCACATGTAATGGTAGACATTTATTGAAAAGGGGAAATGCACAGAGACTGCATCAATTCTGGACAACCTCTGGTACTAACAAATTACAACAGACAAGAGCATAGGCATCGACTTAAAGACAGCATTAGGGGCTTACTCAGTAAATTTTTAATTGTGATGAAGCGATAAACCCTAAGAACGCAACAACAAAAGTATTATCACTTCGAAATGAGCTGAATATCTGAATTACACACGCACACACACACAGAGACATACATAAATATATCAAAGCCATACCTCTGGCTGTCGTCAGGGCCTTAATACAACCACTTTGTGCCATCAGGTGTTTATCTCTCGTTGTGAGGTCTTGGTGGAGTTGAAGGTCACTCATATATATATATATATATATATATATATATATATATATATATATATATATATATATATATATATATATATATATATATATATATATATATATATATATATAAGGTTAAGTTAAGTTAATATCCCTTTTCACGCCTTAGGCTCATCGGGTATACGGGAAGAGCACTCAAATTTTTACAGGCCAATCGGCACTAGGTGGGTAATGGGGTCAGCATTACGCCAGCCGTCTTTACTTCCCCAGGACAGCCATCCTGGTACCAATTTTAGGCTGGGTCGACCTCCGACGTCCCATACCATGATGAAAATCCAGCCAGCAGTGGGTTTTTCTATCACGGTATGTTGGAATTACGAGTCGCACTCCGAACGCCTAAGCCACGGGCGCCACACACACACTCACATATATATACACACACACACACACACACACACACACATATATATATATATATATATATATATATATATATATATATATATATATATATATATATATATATATATATATACGTGTATTTTTAATGGTGTGAAATCGACAGTTTTTAAAAATATGTGTAATTCGAGCAAAACAGACACAATAAAGAATTTTACAAATTTGTTTTGGTTAGTATTGTATAATAAGACCTGCCTAGTGCTAAATATTATAAAAAGTGAGATTACTTAATCTCTTTTCACACATCGAACTACACTGTCTTAATGAAGCAGTGTTAAGACCCGGCTCGAATCCTAGGTAAGGTTGGAGATTTGTTTATTTGTCTCACGCAAAATAAAATGATCACCTGCACAGTCTGTGGCGACAACACTAGCCATGGGGCACTACATCCTCAGGCTCAAAGACCCCAAGCCTACAGAAAATGGTATAATAAAGGAAGCAATTGGCAGTCGCCAAGTTATTAAGTTAGTTGCGTATCCTTTACAGGACGTTGCAGAGCCAACCTTAACAGCCCCTGGCTGTTGTGCAGTTTTTCTAGGCAATTTACATCCAGTAGTTTGCCATTGCTACCTGGACGGTCGGCTTTCTTGATACCACTATCGAAACCAACGCAAAGCGCATTGCCCGCAGCTGGGATCGAACCTGGCATCCCGGCATTACGAAGCGAAGCGTTCGCATCGACTTAGCCAAGTAGCAAACTCAAAATTTAGAAAATGTCTAAAATACTCTTATCTGCCCCCCCCCCCCCCCCCCCCACCCAACTCGCGTTGAATTTCGCAGGAATAGCAAAAAATATCGAAACAGTCGCTTGACATTAGTAATAAGTACAATAGCAAGTGAGAAAAGACTTGTGAATAGGCCAAAGATCTTGAGATGGATAAGAAGACGCTTGTTGTAAATTATATCACCGTACCATTTGTCCTAAAGCCAGTGGATTGCTGCTCGTAATCATTATCATTATAATGTGCCCTGCCAAATTGCCAAGGCGCTCATGCATCTCCACAGTTACGATCCCTAGTTGCCTGGAACAGCTCTTTTGATTATATCCCTCCATGCCATAGTTTCAGCCCATCCAGCATAGTCTCTCTTGGTCTGCCTCTACCCCTTTTCCCACCATCTTTCCAGTTGTCACGATGCTCACCAATGTCTCTCTTCTCATTATGTGGTCAAAGAACAGTGTTTGTCTCCTTCTTATTGTTGTATATAGTGATCTGCTGCTCGTAAACAATCTAAAAAACATATACATAGTGCCCCATCAACAGCACATGATAAACTTCAAGCAGAGAAGGCTCCTGGACAAAATTATGAGAAGGTTAAGACAGCAGAGCTTTAAGTGGCTGTATAGGTGGTCTGTCACTGTGTCATCCGTTCTGTCCACCATCATCCTTATCCGTTGTGTGCTGTTAGATGTCACACAGGACTCGATTGATGCAACCTTCTCAAATTATGACACGGATGTCAGGCCAGCATTCTTACCCTTTCCTAAAAATATTTTCCTTTATGTTTCCCTTGTAAGTCTTTTTTTCCCCTCAAATCATTTGTTTCCCATTTCAGAGCTGGTTTTGTAATTCTTTGCTCATTTTGTCTCAGAGTGTGCCCAGTACATCTACACTTTTCTTTTAAAAATTCATCTAATTTTATGTTTATGATTTATTTCTCATTCATTTATTTTCAACGACATTTAACTTTTGTTCCATATCTTTTGTCGACCACCTTAAAGAAATAAAGACAGATCATGGACAATGGAATGTTTTAGAGCACATAATGTTACGCAGATAATAATAATAAAATTAATATAATCTCCCCAAAACGGAAAGATGATCTCATTGACGACTTAAAGGACAATAAATACATTGTAATTGCAGAAGAATCCACTAACAATTCAACACAAAGACACTTGCTGTTTTTAAGAAGAGGTTCTCTCCTGTGTCGTCAATAAAAACAAAAGCTACAAGTAGAACTCAACTGCAACTTCTCACGGCAATAGTGAGAATAAAAATAGAACCCCTCTTATCTAACAAGTGTTGCTGGGACTTGACTGCATCCCTAAAATGTTGAGGAACTTCTCATCTGACAAAGTGCATGATGCTGGTTTCAGTAGAGACGATAGTGATGACCTTGATTTGGGGCTCATTATGATGTGAGTCGTCAATCAGGTGTCGTCTTCACAGAAAAGGTTGGCTGCACTGGATCTCCAACATGCTCTATCTCTTGTTCTGGTTGTACACTCTCTCAGACTGCTGGCTGTCCTCCCACTTGTATTGATGCTCACCTATCGCTCTTTCACCTTAGGCCTTTCACTCCAGTTTGATTTTTAAAAGTGTGTTATGTTTGTGATATGGGTATACATGTGCAATGCGTTTTCGGCATTGTTTGTTTGTTTGGCCAAGACCGGCTTTAGTTGTCAGCTGGAGCCGGTCGTGGTTTGGCCGACATTCTAAATATTTATCTGGCACCCTGGCCATGACGTTTCCTGCACATGGCGGCGGATTTGTGTTGATACTTGGTTCTTGTTCACTTGATCACCATGTCTTCTTCTTGTGTTGTCTGCAGTGTTCAGACTACTAAATACAGATGTCCCCAGTGTTTGCTTAGATAGTAAGTTTAGTTAACACGAAGATTTCACTATACATTTAGAATAATAATAGTTATTTAGTTTTCTTTTTGTTAAATATTATTTATCTGTTTTAAAACTTAATTTACTGCCGTGTAGTAGTAGTAGTTAAGTGACAATACGACGTAGTGTTTACACTTTAATACTATAGTGAGTAAAATACTAGTTTATTGGGCGCTTCTTTGAATCGTTCCCCAAAATGGCGGCTTTAATATGATGGCGTTCAAAAGGGAGCTAAATTGGCCAATTTCTGGCCATAAAATATCCAAAAATATCACAATGCGGGTCAGTTCTATTAAAAATATATGTGCCGGCTCCGGATAACGAAACAAATGGCTCTGACAGGGTCTCGGCGATACGGCGTTACTTGCCGACCAGCGTCTGCGAGTGTGCCTCACCGCCGAGCGTATCCCACGCGCCGCTACGCGCGGCGCGGATGGGGCTAAACTAGATGGCTGGGACTCACGAGCGGCAGCTACCGCATCTCCTGCAACTTCCTCCAATTACTGTACTCGCGAGGACTCTCCTTGCAGATCCGGATGAGGGTTGGATGCGGGCTGGACGACTTAGTTCAGTTTAGTGGGAGTTCTTTCCCTTGGCCGCACTCGAAACAGTGAGCGGAAAAGTCACGAAACAAATGACATACTTACCTATCATCATACGGTTGCGTGTAAGGTTGAGTACGGTTGCGTTTAGTGTTGCGTAGTCATCATACGGTTGCGTGTAGGGTTGCGTAGTCATCATACGGTTGCTTGTAGGGTTGCGTAGTCATCATACGGTTGCCTGAAGGGTTGCGTAGTCCATCATGCTGTTGCGTGTAGGGTTTGGGTTAGGGGTAAGGTTAGGGGTAGGGTTAGGGGTTAGGTTTAGCGTTAGATGTGACAATTTTGACGACGCAGGAATTCCCAATAATCGCGCACTATTACATACACACCCAAAAAGTCGACGGACTGTGGATGCTACTGACACGGACACGTCGCCACCGGTTGGGCACCAGCTGCACGCTATTGCGGTCATATTTGACAGACTTCCAGTGGCGCCACTCCCACAAGCATCAGATTGTCGACCAGTATTTGGAACTCCTACGTCAAAATTGTCACATCTAACCCTACCCCTAACCCCGAATCCACACCGTACGCAGCCCTATACGCAACCGTATGATGATAGGTATAACCCTACACGCAGCCGTATGATGACTAGGCAACCCTTCGCGCAACTGTATGATGACTATGCAACCCTTCGCGCAACCGTATGATGACTACGCAACCCTAACAGCAACCGTACGCAACCTTACACGCAACCGTATGATGATAGGTAAGTATGTACGCTCGAAATTGTTGTCAACGGTCTGTATTTATCGTCTGCTACTACTACCGTGTGCAAATGTTGATATTGATTGTCAAGCAATCCTAGATTTGCCGCGATTTGTTCCTTAGCAAATAATCCGTATTTTAGATATACGCGAACACCGTCGTTTGGATATTTTATGGCCAGAATGTGGCATGCCGCCATTTTGGGGAACCAATCAAAGAAGCGCCGTTAATTGTTTACACTGCTGCTTGTTTTATTCATTAATGGTTTTCCCACTTGAAGAGAATACCTTCTGATGCTATACCATACATGATACAAGGTATATACCAATAAACGAGAGGGACGTAGAGCAAGAGAACAAGAGCAAATGGGAAGATAACATCAGATAAACTCTACAGCACCACGATGTGTCCCTGTGGTCGAAGAAGCCAAAAAGAGCACAAAGTACGACCTTATAATATCTCACTCGATACTGGATGCGGTTAAAAAAAAAACTAACTAAAGAAAGAGGACGTAAAGAAGAAGAAAATTGGACTAAATGTGTAACAAATTTGTTAAATTAATATTTTGAAATTTTGTTAGTCATAATTCTTGAGATTAGACTTTCAAGTAAAATAATAATTATAAATAATACCATGATGCAGAGTCTAGGTCAGTAGTTCATGTTCATGTTGTTTGTGTTTGTTATATGGTGAACCTCGCTGATATAGTAAATACTTTTCGTTCAGTTTTATATTTTTCATGTTATATATATATACACACACATAGAATTCAATCTGTATATTTCCTTTGCTGAACACTAATAATGACTAGGCGAACAAAAGACGAACTCATTACTTTTATTCAGGTTATTCAAATCCCCCTCTCCCAGTAGGACCCTGGAACCCATACCATACAAGAAAATTTGTTGTTTTGTTTTAAAAAAAAAAAACTTTTTTTCATACATTTCTTTTTTCTCAGCATGAGAGTTTCAAGACCCCTTTATTTTATCATTTATGGAAGAAATAGACCAACTTTTCCCCAACACGCATGTCATAAGTTAAAGTCTCTCTCTCTCTCTCTCTCTCTCTCTGCAGAACAGCTAGCCGCCTGCTGAAAGCATCACATAAAGCACAAACTCCGTAGCTATGGCGGTGACCCCTTAGGAATCTCTGTAAAAATGGAATTAGTTAATTAAACGGCGCAGCCCTGAAACGAACCCTTGACCATTAGTCAGAGCTTGAGGTAAATGGCTTCGCCACGGTGATCCCCCACATGTCATATGAAGAGCCAACAGAAGAGTCAGCTAATTATTAATGTTAATTATTAATTAGGGGTGTTTCCTTTGAAAAATGTAGGTTCTGGAACAAGACTAGTCCAGAACGTCCTTCTAGTGTTTACAGCTGGTGAAGAATTTCTTCTTTCATTATCTTTTTTTTTTTTTTTTACTATTTTGTGCATACACACACACACCTATATATACACACACACACACACATATATATATATATATATATATATATATATATATATATATATATATATTCCCATTGTGTTACTTATCTAGTCTTTTTTAATTTTAAGCCAAGGCCATGTTTGAGTGGCAAGACTTGTGCTGTTCATCTAAGTTTACTTAGAGGCCAAAATTGTGAACACTGAATATTCTCACAGGCCCTAAACCCAGCACAGAAAGATCTTGAATACAGTACACCTGGTAGTGATCCATAGACCACTTACTGCTAGGCCTACAAGGGCCAGGTTTGGCATGCAGGCCACCAGTTGAATAGCACTGGGCTAGACACTTCACCTCCTGCATCAAGTCATTGAGCTGGATTGTTTTAGGATGTGACCTTGGCTCTTGACCCAACCTAACATGGGCGCTATGCAAAGTCCTGGAATGTAATGGCGGTCAGTGAGATGTATGACATATGACCCCCCCCTTCCATGGCTGAGGGGTCTGTAGCATCAAATGCCCAATGTGCCAATGTCATGAAAATGGTCTTTGACCTAATTTAATTAAATAAAACACTGATTAGGCCAATTGTCTTATATATGGCTCTGAAACCTTAGGTGAAGCTAAAAGCCTTATGCCATTTTTTTAAAACAAATTTTTGAGAACAGAAACTTATCAGAGATGTTGTAACTCTTGATAAGGGTTAAGTTGGAAATACCCGATTGATTATAAATGGCTAAGATTGCACACATGAATGTTAGGATCTGAAAAGCGACACTATGTTGCTGAAGATTTTTGGCGATGAACAGTTGAAGAATAGGTAACATAATGAAGAATAGTTGACTACAGGAATGTGCAAAAGGGTAGAAAGTATTATTGACAGACTGATCACAGTTTTGTTTTAATGAATTGTAAGTGAAAGTATTGCTCGCCAACGTCTGACTTATTATGTATATATTTTTGTATATATATATATGTGCTGTATGCCAAGACTTCTTAAACCTTGCTGGAAACAAACGAACCACCAAATAATAAGTGCCGTACAGAGCAGGTACATGAGAGATGTAAACAGCAAAGAATAGCGAAGCAACAACGAGATACGTAACTTGTTTAAATCACCACCTCAAGCCAGCAAATATATTGCGGTAGTTAGGGCATATAGAGAGAGTGGCAGATAACAGACAAAACTGTGTGTGCACAGATGATTTGCATTGGACTGGATCATGAGGCTGACCATGAAGGCGGTGGAAAGATAATATCCATGCAGGATGAGAAGGTCAGTCAGAGTGATACATAAAGGCAGGTGAAATCTGCAGCAGTGTACTTCGAACGTGAAGAAGAAGAACATTTTGATGTGTCAAGTAATTTTTCCTAAAATGACTTCAATTTCCTTTTTCCCCCCATGTAGGTTCCATGGCATCATTGGGGGAGGGGGGGGGGAAAGGCAAGAATAGACACACTGCATTCCCAACTGGCATGTTGTAGGAGTCGACTACGGGTGGTATCCTTCAAAGTTGGAGTGCATCTGCTTGAGTGACAAGGAACCAAGGGTCTGCATACAAAAAGTCATTTGTGAAACCCGATGTGCACATAACACTCAGGTTCTGTAATAACACAAAAGTCCAGAGATGGATGAACAACCAGAACTTTCTGCCAGAGTTTACAGCCATTGAACACAACAGAAGAATTCCTGTTATGTTGCCCACAGTAGTAGACATTTATGTGTTAACGTTTTCTTGTATTAATTTCAGCTGTTCACTTGCCTGCTGCAAAACACATAAAGGTCAGTAAAATATCTGCTCACATTTTCTGTGAATAGCCACATACAATTTAATGAATGTAAATTCCTATTGTATCTGTAACTTGATGGGAAAAGAGAAAGATAGGCAGATACATACCTCGATGATCTGGCCACACAGAGTAATTGGAACAAGAATACAGACATGACCAGAGACTGGTGGTAACATGAGATGGAACATTATGATCACCTGTATTTGTTGATAGAACACATGATGATGCATATTTGTTTATAATTGGTTAGATTTTGTAAGGAATATTTTTTGTGAGACAAATTTGTGAGCTCCGTACCAACATTTTGTGGTTGTCTTTTATGGCATACATCTTAGATTGCCACTAAGACACAAGAATGCCATAAACTAATTACGTGAAGTTACAACATAGACGGCCATAAATTGTTACGAGACGAAATAGAATCGAGAGCTTGGTGACAGCTGGCAAGATTGATAGAGAAAGGGGAAGGCAAGGAGATAATACCTTGATGGCTTGGCCACATAGATAGGACAGTGCAAGAACTGTGACCTGATCCAGATTCTGGTGATCATATGGGATAGTGAATCCTGGTCTCCTATGCTTATCGGCATTGTACAGAATGAGGCCAGAAATATACCGGCACAGTCAGACTAACTCTGGAATATGCATCAACATCATGGATAACAGCAGCCCATTCCGCTAAACGACCATCTTTAGTTATACCGTCAACATTTTATTCTAATAGTATTCCTTTTTGTTTCTTTTGTAGAATCCTGTGTGAAACCTACCAATGATCCAAAGGCAGATGTGACCACTCAAGTGATCACTCAAGCACCTCAGCTAAAGGGACAAGATTTTTTCTGTGAGTACGCATTTTTACAACTCAAAATCAGCAGTCTGTTGAAACTCATAAGATATGTTGTAAGTTACTCCATTCATCATCATGATCATAAATTAGTAGTTAAAAGAAAACTAGAAAATGCACACACAGATGAGTTGATTGGGAAAAGACTATAAGGCAGAACACAAAGATGGTGAGAGTGATAATATACAGGCAGAGGTACAAACACTTGGAATCACCAACTGGAAAGAGAAAACTAGTCTTGGATGAATGCAGACCAGTGATATCTGCTGCAGTGAACCTTGAGGGCTTGAAATGCCCAAAGGGGAGAAAAAAGTTGGTTGTCAATATTGTAAAGCTGCTGGGGCTGACTCAACACTGAAGGATATTATGTGGCATCTCAGACCACAGTGGCATCATTCAGCAGTGAGGTCCACAGTGACAGCTTTACACAGGTCAAGTATCTGGCGATTACAGTAGTTAGAGTTCTCGATTACGAGGTTACAGTGCATTGATGGTGATCCTCTTGACTTAAGTAATCAATGTTTGGGTCTGAATATTCAAATTTGAAAGCATTAGGGACAGAAAAGATTAACACAAAGAATTTGGGGAGTGTAATAACAGGATGGGTCATAAGGAGCAGTACTTATCACATTTTTTACTGCACAGTAAAGTTGCAACAGTATTTAGTTTATTAACTTCTTCCTTTGATTGTCGCAATCTGACAGCATGCAGCCATTATTCAAATCATGCTGGTGGTTTCTTTCAGCTAGAGAAAGAGAGCTTCTTATTCAGAGCAAGGTGAATGAAGATGAAGAGCACGATTGTGTCCCAGATGAGCTGCTTCAGCAACTTGGTAAGTAAACATTTGTGTAATTGCACTTTTATTTCATAAGCCAATATGGCATCTGCAATCTATGGCGCACACACACAAAATGTTCAATTGTTTAGTAATAAAAAAGTGTTTTTTTTTTACCAGTTTCAACATGCTTCTGGTAAATGTTGGTTAAAAATATAGTGTATGCTGTTGTTGTTGTTTTCAACTTAGTGGCAGATAGGTCCGGCCTTGCAGTTGTTTAGTTGCCACCCGTGTTGGTCAGTGTTTACGCTAAGATGTTGGTGCTCAGTTGTGAGCCATGAAAAGCACTAGTCAGTATAAGGACTCATCGTTGGTCTCTTATCTCCTGTGTGAGGCCTCTTACACTTAATCTCTATTTCCTTATCTTTGTAGATTGTTTTTAAAGAAAAAATATAATTTTTTTTTTCACGGCACATGTTAAATCAACTTTTTGTTGATCTGTTTTTTTTTCTGAGTCTAGTCCTCCATTCTGTTCTATCATACGCAGTCCTCTTGATATCATGAATGGAATCCAGTTCATCCCCTGTTATCTCTCAGCAGAGTTCATCTTAGGCTTTTTCTTGGATGTCGCCATTTCCTCAATCCAATAGTTTTCTAATTTCACTGCTTTTTGTGGTGCCATTTCTGCTCATGATATGCCCAGTATAGTGCAGTCTTTTTATATTATAAGTGATAGTGCCAGCAGTTGTCCTGACATTTCTCTAATTTTTTTCGTGCTTGTATTCTTCCAATTTAATGTTGATCGGTTTCCTTAGTCATTAGTTTTCAGATGCGTTACACTTTCATCCCATGTAGTTAAATTTTCACTGGGGTATGTTACAATGGAAATAACATCAGAATCAAATATTACTTTGCTTGGTTTTAAAACTATATAATTCTGTGTTTTGTTGAGGTTTTTAAAAGCTGCTGTTGCTTTACCAGTGAATACAATAATTAATTTTGACTACAGCCTGTTATTTTATATTGCATAATCTAGCACTGAGGGTCAAAGGGAAGCTGCTGTTCTAAGTGTTATTGACTAATTAATGTAATAGCATTTTTGAAATTTTTTTGTTCAGCTTAGTCTGTCTGTCCGTCTGGGCAGTCAAAATGGTAATTAACTAGACATTTAAATGACTGCCTTTGCTGTGAGGGGATCTGCAGTATTGTAGGGCTAGGTGCTAATCTGATTGTCTGGGGTTCAAATCCCTCACTGTTTTTTTAAAATCTCCACCATCATAATATTTACCACATCGCTTATCTCATGCCAGTTGCCCCCTCCCCCCCTTTCTCCCCCCACAAATATAGGTCTAGCGCTACATGCATGAAAAGAGTCCTAACTTCACTTTCACTTTATACTTTTTTTTTTTGCTGCAAGGTAGTTTTAGCTTTCTAAAGGGTATCCAACACAGATCTTGACTAGATTGATATGAAACTGAGATGTGTGAAGATTTGCTTGGAAAAGGATGTTTAAACTTGTTAACATGTGATTGGAAGACAACATTTACATTTGTTGGGAAGTAAACATTAACATGTGATTGGAAGACAACATTTACATTTGTTACTTTCAGAACACAGTTCAGAGCTGAAGGAGATCCTGGGAAACCCCCATCTGCGTGCCCTGTTGGAGAACTTGGTGAAATCAGACAAACCTGAAACTGCCATGGCTGAAGCAATGCGGGAACCAATATTCACAGAATTTGCTGATGCTTGTCTTCAAATTGTGGATAAAAGCAACCCGAATATGGAACATGGTAAGAAAGTTCTTGGGAATAAGAGTCATTCCCTCTTTTTTAGTTGTTTTCTATACAGTTTGCTACTTAAAGGTTTGACCCTGAGATTCTTCTTCTTAAAGTCCATGTCGTGTGGCGTTGCTAGTCATGTCTATACACAACCTTCTGTCTCATGTACTTTCAGTCAACTCTGACACAGATGATCTTCCATGCCACGATGTCATACCGCCCAGCATCTATTCTCTCGGTCTCCCTCTGCCTTGCCTCCCCTCCAGCTTTCCGACTGTCGCGATGTACTCTTATTCTACTTCTCATCATATAACCCCAAAAGTGCAGATTGTCTCTTTCAGATGTGGGAAATCAGTTCTCTTCGAGAGTCAATTTCTTTTAAGACGTCTTCATTACTCTTTTTATCTGTCCAGGGTATTCTCATCATTCGCCTATAAAACCACATATCCGCTGCTTCCAAATAAGTTTTCACTTATTTACTCCCTGTCCATGATTCACATCCCTATATCAATATAGGATTTATATAGCTCTCAAGAACTCTCTTTCTCATCTCAGTTGACAAAGAAAATTGTATTAAATGCTGCCTTTGCTTCTGCTGAGATTACCACATTAAAAAAAAAAGAACGCACATCCCAGATACCCTGTTCAACCTCTCCAAAGTTCTAATGGGACACCTTCAATGGCTTCACCAGCCTGGTTTAGCCTGCATTGGGGACAGTAATGCTAGTGTCCTTTTTGGATTAGAGTGTAACTAATAAAGCAGCCGACATACTGATGAATCTATCTAGAATTGCGTAAATTTTTCTTTACATTCACCAGCTGTAAACTCCTGACAGAATGTTCTTGTTGTTTATCTGTTCCTGGACTTGAGTCTTGTTTTAGAACTTGAGTTTCACATGCACATCCATTTTCCAGATCTGGCTTTATTTGAATGCAGACTGTTGATTCCTCATCACCCCTCAGGCAGATGCAGTTTGACTTTTACGACATGCTTGTTGGAGAGGGCAAAGGGTCCCCCCCCCTCCCCCCTTAAACCCCACCCTGCTTCCTTGAAGCCACACAGATAGACTGATATTTGCCACAAGGGTGCCTAACATGTGCACAACAGAAACAGTTATACTGGTCTACACCAGCCCCAGTTAGGGTCACACTTTGAATTATGCTTTCACTGTATCACATTTACTAATGCTTACATTAAAGGTAGTGAGCCTTTCCTCAAAGGTGTGTGAAGAATGTGTTTCACTATATCACATTTACTAATGATTACATTAAAGGTAGAGTGAGCCTTGCCTCAAAGGTATGTGAAGAATGTGTTTCACTATACTTAGATACCTCAGCAGGTAAAAATGAGGGCCCTTACATGTATGTACTGTCCGGGAAATGCAGGAGTGCGAGGGAATGAAAAAGCAGATTTTGTGGCTACAAAAACGCTATAGGAATACTTGTATTGGATAAAGGAATCATCCTACATGTTTCTTTTTAATAGTCATTATATTGTCTTTTCTCTTTATCTTATACTAATCAGGGTGGAATTTTTGTAAGACCCAAGGAGCTGTAGTGGTTCATTTCTCTGCTCTGCTAACTTTTTTTTTTTTTCAATTAATAACCCTCTTCATTTTTTTAAAACTGCTTTTAAGTGTATATAAATAAATATTATATAAGTGAACTATATTTTAAAGGATGGGGGATGGGCGTTCCTTGGGTTTTCTCCATTGGTTTCTGCAGTGAGAGGGTAAGGTGTATTACGGTAATTTATTCTGATTCTGATGCAACATGTCTTCTCTAAGTTTTAACTCTACGTTTTATTTTGTTTCAGTGCCTGATGTCAGCACATGATCTACCAGTGAGCGTGTATGTGTGTGTGTGCATATGTTTGTGTGTATGTAATCACAGGTGACAGGTGTTGCAGCTGAACATGCAGCTCCACGACAACCAGATTAATGCGTCCTTCAGATGTGTGTGCGTATTTGAGCTTTTTTTGTGTGTGTAACATATTTAGTTTTTGTGTGCGATGAAGCTGGGTGGCAGAAAAGATAATGTAAAACTAATGCGCCAGCACCTCTCTCCGAACGCCCTTAACACTTTAGTTTGGAGATATTAATTTGTGAAGTTACTTGTAAAATAAACACAAATCTATATTTATGAGTTCGCTGAACTGACACTGGCCCTGCAAATATATCAAGAGGAAACTAAGGAAACATCAGCAATGTCAATAGCAAGAAATAAGCAGAACTTTAATATGGAAGTAGACTGACTGTTAAGGTATTTAATACGCGTCCAATTTGAATTTTTATTTGAATATTTGCCCGTTCCAAAGATCTCTTCTTACCCTAATGCCATGAGGCATTCCTGAAGTAGAGAGGAAAAAATAGAAGCTTTTGATGGCATATTTGATGAAGAAATTAACACTTGATGCAGTTAAAGTAAACTAAGGATTGAAACAGCTAGCACCACATGTACACAAAATTCAAGATAGGTGTATCAGCCATGTGCATCTGCGGAAATGTGCCCCAGACAGCAGAGCATGTACTCCAGGACTGCACTGAATTTGGCACATTAAGGTAAACCTTTTGGCCAGAAAGAACAACAGTGGAGCATAAACTCTATGGACCACTGAATGAACTAACAACGTCAGTGAAATTTGGACAAGAGACAAAACTGCTGATGTAGACAACTTTTTTCAGGCCAACGAGAGAAGAAGAAGAAGAAACAGCTAGCATCTCATGACAAAGTCCCAATCAGCAAAAAGAAACATCTCATACTAAGCATATTCATCCCCACCCTGCATGGCCAGTATGCTGGGCAGTATTGTTGAGACCATAGGTAGCCCAGTAAGCATGATCCCTTTCTCATCTTTGTGTGAAAGGAAGTTATCACCACCAGATTGTGTGGAACATAGCATGCTGCCTATCAGAAGAGCATTTGTCTGTCATTCACCTTTTAAAACATTTACAGACATTATTATTTCCAGGACGAGGAGATCAAAAAACAACTTCATTCCTTTCTCTATTACATTCTTTTTCTTCTTCCTTTTTTCCCCTTAGTGGCGCATAGGCCCTGAAGCAACTCATGCCAAGTTGTTCGATCCTTCACTAGTGCATGCAACTCTCTCCATCTTTTTAACTTCACTTTCTAGCTCCCATCTCTGTGTTTTTTCTGTGTGTTTTGGTGGTCTTCCTTAATTTCGGTGCTAGATTAACATGGAGAAAACACATGAACAAGGCAGCAACCAAAGCCAGAAGGAGGGTAGCCATTCTGAGAAAACTAAGTGGAACCACATGGGGTGCTAGCGGGAAAATACTAAGAAAAGTTTACCAACAAAGTGTTCGACCACATCTTGAATACGAATCAACAGCATGGAGTTCGGCATCAAAAACCACATTGCAAGAATTAGACAAGTGCAAAATCAAGCACTCAGAGTTACCACAGGCAGTATGAAATCAACACCTATAGCTGTGATGGAGAAAATGGGGATGACCCAAGCACTGAGTGAACGCAGAGACACCAAGATGCTTTTACAAGCAGAAAAGTTTCTTAGTATGCCCAGTCACCCTATGAATGAAAGATTCCAAAATTTAGCTTTGGGACGACTAAAGAGAAGTAGTTTTATCCACCAGGCCAAACGGCTCGGCAGACAAACCACTGATTTACCTGCAACTGATAGATCCTTAAATGCTGTCCCAGAACGGACTCCCTGGAGAGAGGAGTATAAGTTTCCAATACACATCAAGACTGAAGTGAAAGGAGTATTTGACAAGGAAGAACAAAACAGTGTGCAGCGCAAAACAGCCACCCTCAGTCTACTTGATGATGAATACCCGCAGAACCTTTGGGTCCGTGTTTACACAGATGGGTCAGCAGAAAGCGCAGTCAGAAACGGAGGTGCGGGAGTGTACATTGAGTATCCTAATATTACGAGGGATACAGCCAAATTACCAACGGGAAAGCACTGTCACAACTATGATGCAGAAGTTTAAGCCATCAAGATAGCGGCAGAGAAAATACTAAATACAGGGTATTTTTCACAACCAGTGGTATTCCTGACAGATGCAAAAGCAGTACTTCAGTCACTCCAGTCTGGAAAATTACCAAGCATACGGACACTATTATCCGAACTAGGCAACCGCTGTAAATTAGTAATGCAGTGGATACCTTCCCACTGTGGAGTTCCCGGAAACGAAAAAGCTGATAAACTAGCTAAGGAAGGTGCAACTGAAGAACAACCTAACATACCAGTCTCTTATCAACAGAAGAAGAGAATGATCAAATCAATCAGAATGCCACCGAAACTATCACAAGATGATTACCATATTATGGACAGACCAGAGCAAGTCATTATCCTTCGCCTTAGAACAGGGCACAATCGACTTCGCTCCCACATGTACAACAAATTTAAGATTCGCCAATCAGGCATGTGTACTTGTGGACTGGCACCTGAAACAACAGATCACATCCTTCAAGACTGTCCCAGATTCAACGCTTTCAGGCAAAACCTTTGGCCAAAAGAGACACTTGTGGAAGTCAAACTTTACGGGCCGCTTAGTGAATTACAAAAGACAGTGAAATTCATACTAGAGACAGCTTTGCAGATATAGACAATTTATTTCATGCGAACGAAAGAAGAAGAAGAAATTTCGGTGCCCCTGTGGGTTCCAGTGCAAAGACATTCTAGCTATATTGGTTTCAAGTTTTCTCAGCGTGTGTCCTATCAAATGCCAGGTCTTTTCACCTCTTGGTCCACTGGAATTTGTTTAGTTCTCTCCCAAAGCTCTACAGAGTGATTCTGTTACATTGGTGGTACTAATTATGTTGAGAAAATTACCATTAAAAATACACTATGGTCGCAACTGACTAAATATTACTAAAACTCATACATGTTTGTAGTGTGCTAGTAAATTTTGTGGTTTCTGTGTTTAATTTGTCTAACTGATTACAATAGTGGTTCTGAACCTTCCTAATGTAGCGACCCTTTAATACAGTTCTTCATGTTGTGACGACCCCCAGCCATACAA